TGATTCAAGAGATTTAACAAACGGTCAGAAAGTAAATCTACTTAAGAACAGTAGCTTAGACGGTCAATCAAGCTATAAGCAATAAGCACAAACTTAGATGAAGAACACTAATGATAAAACCCTAATCTAGCAACCTAACAATCAATCCATGAAAACCCTTTGAAAACTCTTAAACCCAACAAGGAGATTACTCAAGCATAGTAAGACAGATCAAGCATAGAGATGAAGAAGAATTCATAATAAAACTTGATAGAAAGTAAAAGGGTTTAGAAATCTCCTCTATAGTGTTACAAAGGTGAGATCTTCTCCCATGAAGCTCTAAAACGAAATCAATGTAAAACTCTCTAAAACTAATGCGGCTCTCTCTTCTAATGAGGCTAAAAAAGTGTATTTATAGTGCCCTAGGTCTTCACAAGTCGGTTTAGGTTAAATTGGGCTGAGAATAGTCAAAACTGCATAAGTGGGCTTCTTGTTCGCGGAGATCGGGTCGAGCGCGGTCCTTTGCTTCCCGGGTCGCACGGTCTGGTCGGCCGTGATGTGATGATCTCGGTCGATCGTGGTCCATTGCCTCCCGGGTCGGACGGTGCGGTCGTGCGGCCGGATCGGTCCTGGAGAAGGCCGAGCGAAGCCAATTCCCTTCCTGTCCGGCCGAGTGCGTTCGGCCGGCTGTTAACCAGTCTTCAGTACAAACGTGATATCTCCTAAACGGCGCATCCAAATTGCATACTTCCAACGGCATTGGAACACTAACTCATCTTCCTATCTTGGTATCGAGTTTCATTGAAATCCATTGAGTTTAAGGGTCCAATCCGCTGCTGCCCGTTTGATGTACTGATGCAGTCCGATTAAGCTCTCTCGTATATGTCTCAGGGAAATAGAGATATCTCCCAATCTACTCGGTCAAATTGATTGATTCCAGTTGCGTTGCAAAGCTAACTCATGTATGCATCTCGTGGAACTGGATTTGATGAATTCCATTGAGTAGAATGGTTTTAAGGCCCTTCTTAAGTTGATGCTACGTCTGGAGTGGTCTTGAAGTCCAAATCCTGTGTTTTGCTCCAAAATGCATCTTTTGACCTGTTTAGACTCTAAGTACTATAAATCCATAAAAACTACCTTTTTAGATCAGAAAGCCATTAAAAACCTTATGAAAAGCATAGTAAAACCATATAAAAAGCATGTAAAATAGAGGTATATCAAGTAGTTTTGGAAGTGTTATTGCAAGACCTTTGTAAAATTTTCATGGATTTAAACGCGTTTTAATGTATTTGGTTTTATTTCATGGGCATTGACCTCTCACTCTCTAAAATCGTTTCTATTATGTACTCCCTCTATCCCATATTATAAGCTGTTTTAGCATAATGTATCTGCAATTTTCTGGATGTATCTGGACCTAAAACCATCCAGATACATCCAGAAAATTGCAGATACATTATGCCAAAACAGCTTATAATATGAGACAGAGGGAGTATTAGAGTATTTTCTTCTAAATCGCTTTGCTTTCAAGATTTTAGCCTTGTCCGGACTAACACAACTCTCGGACTCGTGTACGGGTTGGCAAGCCTTAGGCCCTGTCCGAGAGGGTCGGGCTCACCGGACGAGGGCTGACTCCGGCATTGATGTGTTGTCTCGCCGTCGAATCAGACCCCGGATGGTGATTACTGGCATACTGTTGCGCACGACCGAGTCGGGGGTTTTCTATCACGGTTCGGGGGTGTTACAACGACAGTGTTGTATCATTCTCCGGACATATTCTTTGACAAGCTAGGTTTCTTATACTGCGACAGTTGATTTACTTAACCTAGTGAACTAAATCGGAACCCGCTCGATCTAATGCTTGAATAACTATATAAGGACATACCAAAAGTTTAGCGATTAGATAGATTATCATAGGAGCCGGAGCCACGACAGTGGAAAGGTTTTACATTCGTGATCCGTGTTCTAGACGGTTTTATCATCCCCATATCCCTAAATCATATCATCTATCATTGAGTCATTGATCATTACTTGCTTCTCTGCGATTAGCCCTTGTTGACCTAGCGCTTTTTTCCCATTGAATTTACAATCTCGTTTACTTGCTTTAGTTTCACTTACAATTACAACCTCAAAATCAAAAATGTTGTTTTAGCTTGATCTAAAATCTATATTTTCAAAGTGTACTCAATAGCCAGTCCTTGTGTTCGATACCCATACTTCGACGATATGTGCACTTGCAGAGGTCTAAAGATTTTGGTAAAATCTGACTCACATCAACGATCCTTGTGCGCAACGAGGACGTTGCGCGTAGTGAGTGGGGGTGAATGTAACATTCCGGTTTGTGATAAAGGAGAAGATGTTTAAGAGAATTGATTTGGCTACCTATGTCAACAAAGTGCCCTTACCTTTTCTGTCAAAGGTCCATAAGTAACTCCAGAGTTAAGCGTGTTTGGGCTGGAGTAGTGGAAAGATGGGTAACCTTCCGGGAAGTGATTTCCAAAACCGTGTGAGTGAGGCCAAAACACGGGGAAAGGTTGGGTGTTGATTGCAGGGATAGTAAACAAGTCATTAGAGCCTCTCAAAATAGCACACCGGCCGTCGGACAAGGGTGAGGCCCACAGGCCTAGAGAGGGTGTGGGTGACTCACCGGGATGGACGGTCGGGACCTTATAATAATAATAATTTGAATTTAAATAATATACTGATTTATGGTATTTTTATAAGAATAAATAAGTTGCTAATTTGTAAAACTTTTAAATAAAAGGTTTTTACAATAAACATGGATTAGAAATATACTTAGAATATTCTCTTTTAGGTGTAAAAAATAAGGGGAATACATTAGAGATAAATACCATATTATTATAAGGAAACACTGTAATAAAGGTAAAAATAAGGGAATATATTGGAGATGGTGTTAAACAAGTATTTAATGAAATCGATATTTTTTTTTTTTTTTTTTTGGTAAAATGTGAAGATTTTATACCAATTTTCATTTTTTGACAGAATTACAGAATTACAGAGAGAACAGAGAAATTAGAAAGACCAAAATCTAAAGACAAACAAAGTTACTAAAAACGAATAAAAAGACAGTCTCGTCGTCGACTAACTAGACACACCTCAGCCAACCGAAGGAAACTGATGATGAAACACCGAAACCAAACCTAAGCTTGGAAAATTGCTTAATGAAAGTGATTTGTATTAGTCGAATGAACAGTTACAGAAAATATTTGAAGAGAGAAATGAAGAAGTTTAGAGGAAAAATAAAAAATCTGAATTTGAAAGATTTAATGGTGTTTTTCTAGGTCAAAGTCTGGTTCTCCTCTTAACTGGTGTCTTGCTCTTTTTATAGCTTCAGAGGTTGAGATGAATCTCTTTCGCATATCTTGCCGTGTGCAGTAGCCAATCTCGGTGATCTTAAACCTGATCGGATTTGAGTGAGATATCTGTTTGACTCGGACTGACCTGGTTCTTAGTCTAACTAGTGCTTGACTGTGCTAATTGGAATAGCTCAGATTGCGGCTTATATAGCTCAAAGTCATCCTTTTGGACTTAGTTGGGCTTCGGACTTGAGTTCTAAGTCGAAGTAATAGGCCATTTGACACTAAATTCTAGGTCGGAATAAGGAAAACCTTTTACGATAAAAAAGAAATATGAGAATCATTTGATTCCTTTCGTTATTTTATGTCTGATTGTATTTTTTTCACCGTTTGTTTTTTGGTTTTAATATTAAGAATTTTCAATGTTTGTTTCTTTTATTTTTGCATTTATGCTCGGTCATGAAACCATAAGAAAAAAGAAAATGAAATTTATTTATTTTAATAAATAATACCCGACAAAAAAAGAAAATATCTGTGTTCAAAAAACCGGCCGCTGAATCGTTAACCAGGTTCGAACCGTGTCGATTTGGCTTAATCGAAATTAAAAACCGGTCAACCGTGGTTTGACCGATTAAACCGATTAATTAAATAATTGGGCCCTTTAATCAGAAAATGCTTGGGCGTTTTTGTTATATTGGAAAATTGAAGCCCATTTTCCTTATTTTTGTTTGTTTGCCATTTTTGTTGAAACTGACCTAAATCAACTCATCTAATATCGTGAAACTCGATTGAGAAATAGATTTGGGATTTCAGTTTCTAAAAGAAACCCTAATCACAATTTCGATCCAACCTTAAACCTCAAATCCACCAAATTTTAACCTCAAATCTCTGCCGAATCAAGTTCTTCTATCAAAAACCCAGTATTGCTGAAGTGAATTCGAGGTAACTGTATCTCAAACTTGTGATTTTCGGACAAATCAACTCATTTTCGGGTTTTCATTTTGTCTCTTCAGTTTGCTTGAATTCCTTCTCATTTTCTTTGCAATGTGTTTGTTTTTGATAGATATTTCAAAGTTGTTAGAGTTAAGTTTGTATAATGGTTTTGTTTGTCTTGATTTCTTGTGTCATGAAAACCCAACATATATGTGAAGTTGTCTTACGAGTTGATGTTCTAGACTCGAGTTTGTCCTCGTCTTCGTTTCATGGTTATATCTTTGTGTCTTCAAAGTGTTTTGAAACCTTAGATGGAGGAAAAGAAATGAGAGATAACACAAATTTGTTGCCGTGGTTTCTTAGTTCTTATTTCTTAAAGAACTAAATGTATGTGTTGTTGTTTGTACGAGTTGTGAGACTTGTCACTTGTCACATAAATGAATGTGGTCTAAGTCCTTTGCTCCTTGTTGGTCTCATAGTTATGTCTTTCAGTCTTTGTCTTGTCTTTTTCTTGGTATCATGGATCGTAATTTATGAGTAGTTAAAAAGAACAAATGTATGTCTTATTGTTTTACGAGTTCTTAAAGATAGAGAAATCAGACTATTTCTTTGTTTAATTAAATGTCTTTAAGAGAAATCAGACTATTTCTTTGTTTAAATGATTCTCTCAAGTTCATGTAGTTCATGTACTAACCTGACCCTCCTCCGTTTGCTCTGTACATGTTTAGTTAGTACTCAGATTTTATAGTTTCGTTTGTCAGGTTAGGGGATTGAATGGAAGTTCCGCCAACGGAGGAGGGTCCTCCACCATCTATGAAGCGTAATTCAAATGACATAGGATGGGATTACGGACGTATCATGGATCTTAGTCATCCAGACAGGCTAAAATGTATACTTTGTGGGAAAGAAGTACCTGGTGGTGTTTTCAGAATGAAGGAGCACATAGCTCAGGTGAAGGGAAATATGGCTTCTTGTCCACATGCATCCAAAGAGGATCAAGATAAGTGTATGAAAGTGATCGTTGAAGCCAGAAGAAAGAAAGCTGAGAAGAGGAAGGCAGAGGAAGCGTTGAGGGCAGAGGTGAATCTAAGCAAAGACAACAATGTTGATGAACTTGAAAGGGAGCTTGGAACTCTGAAAAGTCCTCACTTCCATGGGCCGATGGATAGATTCACCAAGCCCATTAACCCTGAAGTTTCTATGGCTGAACAGAAACGACAACAGGGTATCCATGATGCTATCTCCAAGGAAAGATCACATGCTGTACATCAATATTGTGCTCTCTGGATGTACAGTTCCGGAATTGCATTCAATGCAATAGACAATGAAGATTTTAGGCTATTCTGTGAAGCCTTAGGACAATTTGGGGCTGGGTGGAAGCCTCCAAGTCAATATCAATTGAGAGGACCATTGCTGGTTGAAGAGCAACAAAAGACAAAGGAAAAAATGAAAACTCTAGAAGAAGAGTGGGTGAAAGACGGCTGCTCAGTGATGACAGACGCATGGACTGACATGAATAGAAGAAGCATTATGAACTTGTGCGTTAATTCAAAAGGAGGGACATGTTTCTTGTCTTCAAAAGATTCTTCTAAGGATGGTCACACTGGTCAGTATATCTTTGAGTACATTGACAAGTGTATAGAAGAGGTTGGGGCTGATAAGGTGGTGCAAGTGGTGACAGATAATGCCACCAATAACGTTGCAGCTGCAAAATTGCTTAAAGAGAAGAGGCCGAGTATCTTATGGTCTGGATGTGCTGCTCACACATTGGATTTGATGCTTGAGGGGATTTCCAAGCTGCATGGTTTCGTTAAACTCATAGATCAAGTAAAGGCTCTTACTATCTTTATTTATGGTCACCATCAAACATTGGATTTGATGAGATCACATACAAAGAATAAAGATATAGTGAGACCAGGAGCCACACGGTTTGCTACTTGTTACTTAACAGTTAGCAGCCTCTATGAGAAGAAGGCAGAGCTGAAGAACATGTTTAGCAGTGAAGAGTGGCATATTTGTAAGCATTCGAAGACTGTGAAGGGTCAAGCTTGTTACGATACTGTCAAGAATATTGGATTTTTGAGTAGTATGATGGTTGTTCTGAAAGTATTCAGCCCTTTAGTGAAGGTTCTAAGGCTGGCGGATGGAGAAAGGATACCTTCTCTTGGATTTATCTATGGTGAGATTCTAGAAGCCAAAAAGTCTATCAAGGAAGCCACGGATCACTCTGAGAGAGGTTACGAACCTATACTCAAGATTGTGGATGAGAAAATGAAAGGTAGATTGGATACTCCTCTCCATATTCCTGCATACTTCCTCAATCCGTTCTACTTCTTCAAGGAGCCGCTTTTATATAACTTGAAAGTTATGCAAGCATTCTTCGCTTGTGTAGAGATTTTTTATCATGGAGACCTTGAGAAGCAAGACATAGTTGTCAACCATGAAGTTGATCTTCACAAAAACAAAAGTGGCTCTTTTGGGTGGCCATTAGCAAGAAAAGGCTGTGAAAAGAAGGATGACAAATTTGATCCAGGTTTGTCTCGGTTTATGTCTTTACTTGATATGTACTATGTACCTTATGCATTTGTCACATGGGAAATCACAAGTGAATTGATATTATTTGGTTTCATGGAATTGGTGGGCTACCTATGGGTGTGAAACGCCACATTTGCAAAAGCTTGCAACTAGGATCCTTGCTTTGACCTCTAGCTCCTCTGGTTGTGAAAGAAATTGGAGCACCTTTGGAGCGGTTAGCTTATTACTTCTCTTTACTCTGTTTATCTTGCTGTTATACATTAGTCACTCTTTAAAGATTGTCTTAATTTGCAGATTCACACGAAGAAAAGGAATAGACTGAATGTAAGTAGGCTAAACAGTTTGGTGTATATCCAATTTAATTCAAGATTGTTTAAGAAGCAGAAAAAAATCAGAGAAAGCAAAGTCGATGTGATCTTCGATGAGGGTGATGAAGAAACAGTTCAAGAATGGCTTGTTGAGCGCCATGAAGAGCAAGCTGATGATATTAATCTGGTGCAAACTTCCCAAGCTCCACGGAAACGAGATCTTTATGATGATGATTTTGAATCCGAAGCAGAGGATGGTGGAGACATGGAGTTTGAACCAGAACACTTTCCTGAAGATCCTGTGTTTCGTGACCCATCACTTGCTTAGCAACTGTAAGTTTCTGTCTTCATTTTTAGCTGGTTATGGATTCTGGAACGATAGTTTCTTTTACTTGCTTTGCCTCTAATAAATTTCTTGTTTATCTGTTCTCTGTACCTTCTGGAATATATAGCATTAGCAATTAGGACATGAATGTATATCTATTTCTCTGTTTTGGTAGCATTAGGACATGAACATTAGTGACAAGAACTGATTGCATTTCTCTTTCTCTGTTTTTGTTGCATATCTCTCTCTGTTTTTGTTTTCTCTTTATTTCGTTTCACTAGTTCAGTTTTAAACACTTGCTATTGATTTTTTTTCAGGTGGCTTATTAACTATTTCGATGTACTAACACATCTAATAGTCCACATCTATGGACAACTTGATCATTGAGGAACATAAGGATGAAGAACGAGTGAATTACCATCCTTTAGTTATTTTTTGTGTATTCTCAATATGATCAAGACCATTATTACCTTTTGTATTAGATGTGAATTGGTAAAAAACTAAAAATATATAATATAATCTTTTGTATGACTATGATTTTTCATTGTTGGTATTAGTGTCTTATATATATACATATAATTTTTTAAAGTATATTAAAATATTGTCAAAATTCCACCCCGATTAATCTCCGATGTATTAGCATTTTATAAAAAATCGGTAATCGGTGACCGACCGAATAATAGCGAAATTTTGAACACAGGAAAATATTAAACACTTTTCTAGTTTCAGCGACTACACCCAAATGTAAATTTTTACTTCTTTTTTGTAATAAGGGTACCGATTGTTAGTTTTGCATCATGGTATCAATCCTTACACCTGCATTGTTTTGCACTTTTGCTAATGGTCACTGTTACACATCTCACTCCGAAAAGCCAGAATTGACAATACAAATCTAAGGAAAAGTGGCCTCAAATCACTAGTTTTATCTATTTTTTTACGTTGGCATGTCTGTTGACTCTTTTCGTATCATCATATTAGTATTTGCGAAGTGATTTTCGGAATGGAGCCACCACGTTAACTCTCAGCCGCGGAATTACCGAGATACCCTTAATGAAAATCTTTCAATTAAATCTTCGAATTTTTCTTTTTTTATTAAAAACGAATTTGATTATTGACTTTTAATATTTTTAGATAAATATGTTAACTACCATATCCCCGCCTTATTTTTGGCAGATATTATAAATTTTAGGAAGATTAATAAATTTTAGGTAGATAAATATTAAGTAAACCCTAAGATTCTTAACTGACCATGTATTATATAAATAGATACGAAGTTGGAAAACAACACAATTCTCATTACGATTTGCAATTCGTCTTTCAATACGTAATTTTAGTTCTTAGATCTCATATTTCTTCTTTACATGTACCTTAATTGTTTTAGTTCGATCTTAGTTCTAATAAAACTATTTATGAACTGATTATTTGTTATTTTCTGTCAATATCATCTATTGATCCGCTTCTAACTTCTTCCTCTCTCACTTTTGTAACAGAAAATTCATTATTTGTAAGCTGATGGAATCAAGAAGTTCATATATGGTCCCAAGCCAGAAGTATTCTTCCCCAAAAATAGAGGGTATGAACATCTTTTCTTTTATATATCAACTTAATATTCATGAAACCCTAATTCTAATGGCGAGAGTATAACGTTTTCTGTTTTTTTTTTCAGTATCCATGTTATTATTTCATAACTTTTTTTTTTAAAGTATCCATATTATTAGTTTCATAGTTCATATTAAATCTTAACCGGTGACTTTATTGAATCAGGCACCTACAATAAGCTTTTATGGTATGATAAGGTATTTAGGAAGAGGTATACCGTCTCCGGACTTGGGCCGAGGACACACGAATCTAGAATTTTGGTCAAAGTTTTGCGTGGATTAACGATTACGCAACTTCTGCTAAAAAACTAGAGTTTATACTATCTGATGAAGAGGTATCAGATGAAACAAAACAACTCTATGATAGATAACATTGAAACCGTATTCATCTTTATAATGAATGTATGATACTGTGCATGTTTCCGTTTACGACTAAGAAACAACTCTACAAGCAGCTCGAGGTATGTTTTATCTATATCCGTAAAGACGTTGCCTATAGCTTTGGTTTTTATGTCTGTGTTTAAGCTTTTGGATTCATGAAGCTGCAAATAGTGGAAATAGTGAAAGTGATTCTAAATCGTATTATGAGTTTCGAGCAAAACCGACTCAAATTTATGAAAATTAATAAAATAATATATGAACCCTAGCTCTAATAACTCTCTCTATATATATGGCCGTGAGCCCGTAACTAACAAAAACGGCCATCTTCGATGTGTTCTTCCTTATCCGTTTTATGCTAGATTGCCAATATGTTTTATCATTCGTATCTAATAATCTGTTTTTGTGATTTCTTTAATACAGGTTCAAAAATTGATATGATACAAAACGTCTTACAAGCCATGGCTTTGTGACCTCTTAATCTGAAACTATGCCATGATCCCATCGAGATGTAAGTCTTCGTTACATTACATAAAAACGTTATTATGATGGATTATGGATTACGACTTCGGTAATGGTAGTAGTTATTTTTTTTTAACTCTCTTTGGTTACTTAGACTTCAGAATTCGGTTCTCTACCTTCACTCAAATTGATTCTCTGCACAAATTTTTCGACTTCCGGAATTCATGCATGCTATCTGAACTTTTGACTTTGGTTTATTTTTAGATAACACTAAATATCGTTAGCCCAAGACTCTCTCTATGATCCCTAATCGTCTATTAATCATAGCTTCTTCTTCAAGAATCTTCTTCTCTTAAAAAGAACGCCTTTCCATTATTCTTCTGCACCAATTAGTCGAAGGCTTCCGGAGTCTAACAGTTGGCGATGCGGTTGAGTTGGACATCACACAGGGTAACGACGGTAAGACCAAAGCAGTCGAAGTCACTGCTCCAGGTGGCGCTCCTTTTAACAAGAGGAAGGAGATTACCTTTCATGGTAACGGCATAGCCAAAATCTTCATACAAAGCTGAACATAGCCAAAGCTAAGCTCAACGAGACACAAAAGAAGTTGACTTTTTATGAAGTAGAACTTGATCACAGAAATAGCTATTGTCATGTGTTTTGATTTTGTTATATATCTAATATCTCACATGGTATGATTTAACCTCCTTCCTATCTTTTGAATCATTTGTAACAGCATTGATAAATCTAACAGACTGAGTTCTTGGAGATTCTTGAGCTTCCCTACAGTCAAAGGTATTTCACCAATGAATCTGTTTGAGCTTAAATCTATAACTCTAAGTTCAGGGCAATCTTCGATATCGGAAGAGATAGTTCTGGTGGTGTTGGAGATAACGAGTTTCTAAAGTGAGCTAAACGAAGAGATGTTAAAAGGGAAAGGTAAAGCCATCTGAACAGAGACGACATTGGTCATTGTAACAAGTTTGTATGAGGAGGAACACCTGATGTAAGGCCATCCCACTGGGTCGGAGTCAGAGGGATTCCAGCCGGAGAATGTTGTCGGTGGCGAACTGGAGCTGTGAAGCCAAGAAATCAAAGCAGCCACTGAGGAAAGAAAGAAGGTAATAAAAAAAACTAGAAACAGTTAAGGCTTTCTTGGAATCGGCAACTACAAGACTAGATGAAGGAGTATGCATAGAGTGGGTTGTAGTGGCAGAGCTTGAGGGACTCTAAATAGAAATCCTCCGTTGAATCTTTGTCTATAAATTTAGGGTTTCAGAACCGTGAGAGTGTACATTAGGTGCATCAAGTCTGGAACTGTCCTAGCTTAAAAGTAAGCAAAAGAAATATGTCACAAGCTCATGTTTTTACACAGACTTTTGACGTTAGGTTGCAGAGAAGTCAAATACAGTAGAAACTCAATAAATTAATAATGTCGGGTATAGGATATTTTATTAATTTAATGAAATATTAATTTATCGAGAGATTATTGGATCAAAAACTTGATTTGGGACCATACAATTTTATTAATTTACCGAGTTATTAATTTATCGAGTATTAATTTATAGAGTTTCTATTGGTTTTGTATTTTACTTTGTTTATAATTGGAAGTTTTGTGAATAAGGAAACAAGTACTTTAGACACACAGATTTGAGAAATCTATACCATCTCCAAAGACTTAACAACTTATACCTGAATAAACCGGTGACATGTTGATTAAGTAGAAGGAAAACATAAACGATAACTTATCAACACAAAGACGATGGTTAGTGGTGGTATATGTCAAGATCCATTATGTCTCTAATTATGGTTAATGATCCCCAAGATAAAAAAAATGAAGAATAAGAACACAAAGCTAATTGAAAAACAAATTGTAAATAAAAAGAAGAAAACGAATAAAAAGATGGTAGAAATTGAAGGAAAAAAATAGAAAAGAAGTATAGACAAAGTAAAAAAAGAACAAGATAAAATGGGGTTATGATGTACAATTTATATTGATGGGTGTAAGGTTTAGGTTTTGGTGCATTTTAAAAAATTGAATACACTGCATTACCGATTATAAAAAATAATACTACATTTAAGAAAAAAAATAAAAATAAAAGTAAATACAAAACCAATTATTATGGAAGAATATTTGAATACATCAACATTGCCGATTAAATTATACATTGTAGAGTCCAAATATTCACATATAGGAATGCACAAATCATTCCAATGTTAAAATGGTGGCGGCAACAAGAGTAAGTGAACCCTTCGCAAATGAGAGTCATGGTCAAATACTTCGTGATTCCTGACAGTCTCTTTAATGGGGAAATAAAATGAAACTGTCAATTCTCGAATGCCTCATCAAGAGTCTACGAATCTGTTTCCAAAAGCCCTTCAAGTTTGTTGATTATAGAATTTATCCTTAACACTTCCTCTCTAAGATTTCTGACTTGGACAAGCTCCATTTCAAAGGATGGGTGAACAAAGAGTTTGTAATCTTTACTCGAAAGATTATCTCCTCTATCATCTTCTCTGAAATATATTACCAGGAAGACGAAGAACATCGTAAAAAGAAGTATAACATCGTGCGGTTTAGGGGAGAGTTATAACGTGGGGGTTTCGGTCTACAGTCGTTTTGGGTTGGGGGGGGGGGAGAGTTATAACGTGGGGTTTCGGTCTAGGGTGTAGGGTCGTTTTGGGGGAGGGGGAGAGTTATAACGTGGGGTTTGGGTTTAGGGTGTAGGGTCGTTTGGGGGGGGGGGGTGTTACAATGTGGGGTTTGGGTTTTAGGGTGTAGGGTTTAGTTTTTGGTGCATTTTAAAAAATCTGAATGATTATAGAAATCAGAATTATAAATCATTGATTATAACTTTTTATCTACCTTTCTAAATTACATTCACAAATACAATTAAAGTAGATCCAG